TTCGCTCCAGGCACGGACGCGGCGCCGGGGGCGAGGGCGGGGGCGGCGGGGTCGCGCAGGTGTCGCGTCGCCGCGCTGGATGAGCGACCGCCGCCGGCGCCTCTGGAAGTTTCCATTCGTGAGGTCTGATGGTCGTTGGAAAGTTTTTGCGGAGAGCATTTTGTAATACCCATTTCAGGTAATTTGCAGAATGCTTGACTTCATTACAGAACTGCTTCAATGCAGCTGTTAATTAAAGAAATGGGTGTGCAACGGTCCTTTGTTTGAATTCAAACGTGCGATTTGAATCCGAACACCTTTCGTTTATACTTAATGTTCAAGAATAACGATGTAAATGTTATCTTAGACTACAAAAGGTCTTACCTCTCATTATTAGAATATATGTTTTCAACGTGAATTATTGATGATTTGGGGGAATTCATCCTAAAGAATGAGGGGATGCATGGCATATCGAAACTTATCTTGGTCGTGGTATAGTCAAATCATGAATTTAGATGTTTTGATTTGAAGGAAATAATACAATTTTTGCATCCAAGTGTACTCGGGGAATAATTGGAAAACTGTGTCATTGGGGCCCACTTGATGGCAGTATTCACTGTCTCTGCTACCTACGTAATGTCAAAATGCAGAATTTTACGATTTTTTTACCTTATTTATCTTAAATACATTATTTATGTCTCCACCGATTGTCTTCAGGTTAGTATTTTGGCCCAGAGTGTGTTCTGAAAGCAAAGGGAAACCGGCATAACACCTGTTCCCATTACCGATCTTTAGGCTAAAGGGGGAAATTTTAACTATTTTTTCTCGCTTTTTGAGTATATCTCATTATCCGCATCAATTGCCCCCTGCACATCTTGTATACGATACCAACAGCCTTTACACCTGACGTGTGTACAAGATGGACATCAAGCTTCTATCAGAATATTCACGCACCTATCTTCTAATCCCTACAGATATAGGGCAAATTTTTTTTCATCTCAATCGTCAACGACATTCTGATCTTGAATTTTTGGTCCGTACTTTTACGTACTTTCAGTCTCTACTACGTGTAGCACAGGAAAAAAGGAAGCTTTTTGAAGCGAGAAAAAAGATATTTAGACTTATAAAAATAAATGTATCTTTCTTATTGACGTGAATCTTGGAGCCTTAATCATTTTCTACGTAAAGTATTTGCTGGGTGCAATCGCATCGCACAACACTGCTTTTTAGTTTTTGTGAAAATACCTTTAGAACATCGGTAGATGTTACAGCAGAAATGAATAACGTCATTAATACATTATTTAACTTGTAGCATTCCGTTAATTTAACATTGCTGTAATAATATGAAGAGCAATTCAGTGCTAATTTTCGATGCAGAGTGGATTATTCATGAATTTTGTAAATCACGACAGCGTTAGATTGTGTTTGAAATGAAATTATTAAAACTTCT